TTTCTCTGTAATTTACAAATTATTTAGAATGTATATATAGTCTAAATTATAAAAATGTAAAAAATTAATTACTTACCAGATAAGTCCAATAAGTATTATATGATAAATGAAGAAAATCTTTCCAGTTTTCTTTAGGCTGTTTCTTTTTTTTCCATTGGTTCTATTCTTCTTTAGTAATAGGATTTTGTATTGAACCACGTGGAAACTAAAAAATATTAGTAAAATATTAAAATGTTATCAAAATTTTTTAAACATTTTATATATTTACTGATATATTAATGACGCCTATAAGAGTATTTGATGGTATAGAAATAGTAGAATTAGGCGTAGAAATTGGCACAAAAGGGATTTGTTGATTTTGCGTAGTAATATTTGTAATAGCTTGCTGCAAAACTGTTGGATTTGTTAATAACTGAAGCAGCGAAGCTACATTTAGGGTTGACTCTAAATTTGTCGTGATATCTGTATTGTTATTACTATTTTTGCCCAAGTTATCGTCAGCCATGTCTAAAAATAAAAAGTATAACATGAAAGTTAAAAATATTCCAAAGCAATAATGTTTTCTGCTTATCAGTGTAAACATCCTTCAAGAAAAAAAGGTGAATAATATTTTCAGCAATAATAATACTTACTCTTTTTAATTTATGTTATTGTAACTTTCAAGTATTTTTTAAAAATATATTAAAAAGAGGCGTAAAAAGAAAGAATAAAAAACAATTGTCAACCTTATATATTCTAGTGATTGGCGATTATTATTTAGTTAGTTTTTTTAGTTTCATCAGTATTTATTATTATTTTCATTATAGTTCATATATATAGGGCTAGTGCAAAAAAGTAAATATATATATGTAGGAGGTTAATGACGCCTTTTTTTATTTGAAGAAAAAAATATAAATTTTATTTTGCCATTATTATAAGATTATTTTATCTGTGATCATAATAATTCTTGTTTCTGCGCCATTTTAAATTAATCTTAAAACAAATTTTTAAAAATACATGTTGCAAGTTGATCTTCAATTCTAATTAATATTCTTTTTATGAATTAATAATAATAATGGCAAGAAGAAGTGTTTTTGTGTATTTGTATACTTTGCTAACATGAAAGTAGTAATTCTGGTAAATATGTGAGTACTGCCACTTGAATAAGACATCGAAGAAGAGAAAAATCATTTAATAATCATGATATATCAGCTTCATATAATGGTAATATAACACGAATAGAATCAACAGATATTGGTAAAAAT